TTAGATCAGAAAGAAAACAAAACTTGTGAAGAGTCCTCTAGCATAATATATTGGATTTATGTTTTGTTTTACAAAGCTTCCATTGCAGTTCACTCCGATGAAATGATTGGAAAGGAACGTTCTTTTGTCTACTTTTCAACTAGGTTATTAGAGAAAGCGTAACTTAGAAACCCAGGCGAAAATGGGTGCGAACAGGCCGCCCAGATCTAGAAACCGTAATTGGGGTAATATCTTCATCCTCTTGGTCAGAAACGGTCGTTTTCTGAGTCCGTGTCATATTCTTCTGCATGTGTTCGCACCGTCAGCAGCTCACACTTCGATGATACCGTCGTCAACAAATGTGATATCTGTCACATTCCCACGTTTCGAAGTAGCTTCAACAGCTCCTTTGTCGCAGCTGAACCGTACTGACTGATCTCCAGAGTTGAAATCGTTACCTAATCCCGCCAACAAGTCCACTTTGGTGGAATCTTATTGCTCCGTGTAAACGGCCGGTGGTAAAGCCCCTGCCCTGCCCTTGGTAGTTTCCTCCTGAACTGTCCTTTGCCTCAAGGGACGATATTTCTCCACAAATTCTTTAATAGCACTTTCAATCTCGGGGTCGATCTCTACTTAAGGAAGAGGTCGCATAAAGTTTACATTTGCAAACTCCGGGCTGGTCTGAGGGACAAGATAGTAGGATTTTTCATGAATATTTGGCTGCCCTTTTCGTTACTCTCTTCAACGACTCCTTAGTAATTAATCCAAAGTCTTGGGAATACTGTAATGCGGCAAAGGCCGGTCTCATAATTAAAATGTGAAACTGCATGTAGATTCTCCACAACTGTCGTGAGTAATGTGCTCAATTCAATATCTTGGAGATAATCGTTGTTAATTGAAGCTATGCTGTTGTGCAGGCGGTGCATTCCTTCTTCGAGAAGTTTAAGTGAGACTTGAGTTTTATGAGACACATAAGATTTTACTTTAGCAATTAGGAAATAGACTTTATATACTTTTACTTTAGTTTTAAGTTTATTTAATTTAATTAACTTTAATTTTGAATTTCCTCTCACTTTGTTAAGTGCCTAGATCTATCATTGGATAGGCGCTATATAAATATCATTATTTTTATCATTATTATTATTATTATTATTATTGTTAACTTTTTCACAGTCACTTTAGCTATATCATTATCATCTACATAAAGCATAATTTACATGAATTCAAGAATGAGAAAGTTCTGACGGCGCTTATAAGTCGACATCTAATGGGCGTTTTATGATAAAGAGTAGGCTATTAACTGATAAATCTACCAATACCAATTAATAAATCTACCAATACCAATTACCAAACCTCTCCAATATATACTGTTTAATTCGATTCCTGTTCCAGCCAGCATGGTCGGGAGCTCCAAATTCCATTGCTCGTCCGTAGTTAGCGCAAAATTATATCGCTTTTGCTGCCTGATTTCGGAGCCATGTGATAAAGATTCACATCAAAATCTCCGAGGCCATGTTTACTAGACAAGTCCTTTAGACCAAGAAATGAAGTAGGGTGTGCTTTTTCAGCGCCAGTGGGGTTTGAACATCTTTGATAGGAATGCGGCTTCTGTGACGCTCAAATGTCGTTTCCGACTCAATTCGGTAAAAGCTTACAACAGCTCTTAAAATACGGCCATCGCGTAAGTTGACGATCAAGTTGGGTATCAAAGACCATATAACTGATATGTGACACATGACCTTGATGTGGAGGGCACATGGGGTAATTATTAACGAAATAGGACACTCCGGCGTATTCCTACTGATATGTAATGGAAAATGTACTTTCATTAAACACAATAAATCAACTGTCCTTATTTTACATCCAGTTTTTAGGATACTAAGGGCGATCCGGACAAATGTCAGTTGTCAGTTAGTTTTTCAGCGATTTGTCAGTTGTCAGTTAAAATTTTGGCCATTTGTCAGTTGTCAGTTAACCACATCCAGACTCTCACAAAAGTCGTATCTTAGGGATACTACAGACTTCGTCAATTTCATAGAAAATACGAAAGTCCCGGAGAACGTAATACTTGTTTCAATGGACGTTACGAGCTTACATACAAATATACCACAAGAGGAGGGAATAGACACTGTCTGCAGAGTATACGAAGTATTCTACAGAAACGGAACTCCCATCCCTACACAACTACTAAAACAAGCACTTAGGCTAATTCTCCAAGAAAATTCTTTCCATTTTAATGCAAAGCACTACCTTCAAACACGTGGTACAGCCATGGGCACGAAAATGGCAGTCGCCCTTTCTAATATTTTCATGAACAAGGTAGAGACAGATATCCTTGACAAAAGCCTTTTCAAACCGCTTGTTTGGAAACGTTACATAGACGACATCTTCTCGCTATGGAGTACAAACAAAGCAACAACAGAACGTTTGATTGCAAAAGCAAACAATCATCATCCAACAATAAAATTTACG